CCCAAATGACAGTTTAATTGTGCTCCCTAGACACCTGGATGGTGAAGGTGATCTTTTTGTGGGGTCTTACCAGAGTCCTGCAAAAGTAAAACACACTCCAGGTTGGCTGGCATCAGGTCATTGAAAATCAGAAACCATTTACCTTTTCCGAGCCTCCTCTGGCTGTGGGAAACCCTTCCACCATTTTGTAGGAAAGTAGCACGTTCATCTGTATGGAGGGACAGTTTACTTCATAAACAGAAAACCAAACCAAACTCACTGCCATTGGGTCGATTCTGACTCACAGCGGCCCCCGTTGAGTTTCCTAAACTAAATCTTTACAGAAGCAGACCTCTTCATCTTTCTTCCGCAGAGCAGCTGGTGGGTTTGGACCACCGAGATTTTGGTTTGCAGCCAAATGCCTTAACCACTACACCACCAGAACACCTTTATAAACAGAGGACAGTAATAAAGAACAACAAAGTGGGTTCTCAGAGCCCCTGGCCCCCAGAGCCCTTAGCCTAGGTTCAGGATCAGGTTCAAGGTTGGGTAAGACATGCAAGGGTGTCTGGGGATTAGAAGGACCCTGATTGGAAGGACCAAAGCCAACAAAAGCCAATTGAGAGGTTATAGGGTCAGTAAAAGTTTCAGTTTTTAGGGTCAGTAAATGAGATGGATTGACACAGTGGCTGCACGAATGGGCTCAAACATAACAGGGACCGTGGGAATGGTACAGGATCAGGCAGTGTTTTACTCTGTTGTACATAGGGTCGCTGTGAGTTGGAATTGACTCAATAGCACCATACAAGAAAAATAACAACTAAGTTTCAGAGTAACCAGGGCCAAAGGTGGAGATAGGCACCGATTGGCCTTTCAATTCTCTCACTTAATATTTTTAATTTCACGAGTAAAGCGTTCTTAAAAGGAAATCAAAAAGTCCTGATGTGTAGTTAGTCTCCCCCAGAGCAAGTGATGCAAAAGAGAGTGTGGAGGAAGCTGCTGGGCCTTTTGTGACCTCGTCTCAGAAGCCACACACCATCATGTCTATCTTTTTCTGTTTATTAGAAGCAAGTCCAGGGCCCTCTCCAGAAGGGGGGAATTAGACTCCCCCTTGTAAAGGTGGAGTTTGCTATCATATTTAAACTGCCACAGGTGTTTCCCCTTTTCTCTATTGTGAGCAAAGTCTTGTTGGATGTCCTTGAACTTACATTGTTGTACACGTGTCAGTATTTCTCCTGGCTCCCAGGGACTATACACTTTGAATTTTTACAGATGTCACCCTGTTACTCTGCTAAAAGATGGAGTTTGGAAGAACATTCCTTTCCCCAAACCTTTCCCTGGCTTGGTGATAGACCAGACCCTAATTTTCAGCATGCCTATTAAAATTATTTTGACTATGTCAGGTATACATATGCATGCAAAAGATGGACAATGAATAAGAAGGACAGAAGATTAATTGGATGCCTTTGAATTATGGTGTTGGCGAAGAATATTGAATTACCATGGACTGCCAGAAGAACGAACAATCTGTCTTTGAAGAAATACAGCCAGAATGCTCCTTAGAAGCAAGAATGGCCAGACCTTGTCTCACGTACTTTGGTCATGCTGTCAAAAGGGACCAGTTCCCTGGAGAAGGATGTCATGCTTAGTAAAGTAGAGGGTCAGCGATAAAGGGGAAGACCCTTAACGAGATGGACTGACACAGTGGCTGCAGTGATGGGCTCAGATATAGCAATTGTTGTGAGGCTGGTGCAGGACCAGACGGAGCTTCATTTTGTTGTCCATAGGGTCGCTATGAGTTGGAACCAACTTGATGGTACATAACAACAACATGTCAGACATTGGGCTGATGAGCCCAGGCTGGGAGATCTACAAGTCAACAGGCAATTTTGATAATAGTGTGATAGGGTAAGAAATGAATATTTTAGGAGTTTGTGGGACACCTAACTCAGTTTTTTTGAAAGTCAGCATCACATTTGAACCAAACCCTAGTAGGAGTTAGCCAAGCAAAGAGATGGGGACTGGAAGGGGATATTGCAGACAGAAGGCACTTGGGCTCTGAGGTTGTGAAATGTTACGGGATCCAGCATGGAAGAAGGTTGTGTGTCAGGGTGAAGACGCGCCACACACGATTCTGTGAAAGGAGAATGCCACTTCCTCAGTGTTGTAACTCTCACTGCTGAGGGTTGGGGGACAGTTGGTGAACTCCTGTGGCTTCAAGGGCATCTCTCTATTCCTCACTTGTAGAGAAGTTGTCAAGGCAGCAATTTATAGGGGAAACAGGTACATGTCTACACCTGTGTAGGTATGAGAGGAAATGGGATGGGAAAAGGGAGCCGCGGCCATAGATTCATGAGCCTGGGAGAGAAATTTCTAGGCATGATCTTTCTCCTCCCTTCTGCCTGTGATCTGCTTTCTGGGTCATCTCTCTTGGTATTAACTTAGGCGGAGATCACGGTTCTTCAGTTTTGGCGATAGATGGGGTGAACTAGAGGGTCATGATCTTCCTTCATCATGGATCTCATGGTCTTTCACAAATCTCCCACCCCCCAAATGCTCCTTAAACCTTTATTCACTCTCATTGTTAATTTTTAAGAGCTGAATTGTTCTAATTTATGTAATCTTTTGCCTCAAGGACTTTTTTTTCCCCTCCAGTAACCTTTTAACTTTGGAATAGCATTAAAACCAGTTGCCATGGAGCCAATTCTGACTCACGGAGAGACCCCATGTGTTTTCCTGGAATAACATCAGATTTATAGACAAGTTGCAAGGATATTATAGAGAGTTCTCATATACCCCTCATCCAGTTTTCCCTAGTGTCAACATCTTACATAACTGTGGTACATTTCACAAAACTGAGAGATTAACATCAGCATTTTACTGTCACCTCTAGACTTTATTTGGATTTCACCAATTTTTTCCTCTAATGTCCTTTTCCTGTTCCAGGATCCCTTTAGCCCTTACAGGCTTTAGATTATAATGCTAACCAGTTGGTTTTCAAATGTTTTAAATCAAACACCCTCCTTTGTGTGTATGGGGAAATAATTGAGCATGCCTTCCTCAATATGTTTAGCTTTTTATGTGCTGTCCTGATATATTATGTTTATTACAAAACATAACAGTAACAGAAATTTAAAAAGATGACAATAGATAAAAATTAAGTATAAAACCAAACTCATGGCCATCAAGTCAATTCTGACTCATAGCGACCCCCACTGGGTTTCTGGGCGGTAAATCTTTGCGGAAGTAGATTGCCCAGTCGTCCTTCCACCGGGTGGCTGGTGGGTTTGAACCACTGACCTTCTGGTTAGCAGTCAAATGCCTCAGGCACCACAGCACCAGAGCTCCTTAAAAATTAAATATATAACATTTTAAAATGTCTTATTTATACTATAATTAGTTGACATCTCAAATCACAATATACGATTAGGGCAAAATTCAATCTCTGGTTTTCTTGTTATGTCACTCATGTTTTTCTTATATGCATTGATTAAAGCTAATCCATAAATCCATTAAACTAAAACCAGGCACAGGCAAATGACAGAATGTTTCAACACCCTGAAAATGAGCAAACTGTCAGTCTTTCCACCCTTTCCTTTAAGGCCATTACCTGGAATTTGCACACGTCACATCTACTCACATCCTATTGCCTTAAGCTTAGTCACATGGCCACAGCTAGCTGCAAGGAAAGCTGAGAAATTAAAGACCTTATTTGGGTCATTTGCATACCTAAAACATGGAGGTATTATTATTATTATTGTGGTAAATACATATATAACAAAACATTTGCCATTTCAATATTTTTTACATGTACAGTTCAGTGACATTAATTATATTCATCATGTTATGCAACCCTATCACAAGCTGTTTCCACGTGACGGTCTGATTAACATGGAGGAGGAGAATAGATACTAGGAAGCATCTTATAGCAGCCTCGGGGCTAAATAGCTGTGCACAGAAGTTCTAATATTTTGTTCCTATACCCCAGTAAAGGAGCTCTGGTAGTTCAGTGGCTAAGGCATTCAGCTGCTAACCAAAAAGTTGGTGGCTTGAATCCACCAACTGCTCTCTGCAGAACAAAGATGTGGCAGTCGCCTCCATAAAGATTTACAGCATTGGAAACCCTGTGGGCCAGTTCCACTCTGCCCTATAGGGTCACTTTGAGTTGGAATTGACTCGATGGCAGTGGGTTTTTATACCAGTAGATCCATCTTTGGACTCAACAACCATTAAAACTGTAAAAATGGTTAACAATTAGGACTTACTCGTTGGACTTGTATTTTGCATCCTCCACTATACTTTGGAGAAACTCTGGTAGCATAGTGCCTAAGGCACTTGACTGCTAACCAGAAGGCTGGTGCTAACCAGAAGGCTGCCTCAGAAACCCAAGGAGGGGTCGCTATGAGTCAGGTCCAACTCGACAGCACATAACAACAACAATAACAACTATACTTTGGGTTCGTGAAATTTAATTTGTTGTGTGTGTATAATATGCTGGGAGTCAGACTGTTGTGGATGTGATTATATTTCTGCTTCATTCTTTAGTTGGCAGGAAACAGACAGGTCACTTGTGCAGTGGATGAGGTGGTACCGAAGGACCTTCATTCCCCCTTTCTTCCTTCTCAGCAGGGACCAAATGTGAGAGAAACGAGTTCCAGTGCCAAGATGGGAGATGCATCTCCTACAAGTGGGTTTGCGATGGGAGTGCCGAGTGCCAGGATGGCTCTGACGAGTCGCAGGAGACATGCAGTGAGTCCCCTCTGAGCGTGACGTGCCTCCTGACCTTTTGTGGTGGTGGTGGATGGGACATGAGCTGGGAAAGCAGCCAGCAGATTCATGTCCTTCACCAGGAATAACTGGGAGGTGGGAGAGAAGATTTTACCAGGACTGTCCTTTAACAGGGGTCCCTAGGTAGTACAGATGGTTAACGTACGTGGCCGCTAACCAAAAGGTTGGATGTTTGAGACCTGGACCCCCTTAGAAGAAAGACCTGGGGATGAAAACCCAGCCATTGAAAACCCTCCAGAGCAGCTGTCGTCACACAGGCTCGGCATGAGTCAGGGTCCTCGTGACGGCAGCTGGCCCTTTAACAGCTCACTTCTAACAAACTCCATTCAGTGCCCTTGGTTTTAACTCAAAGGGGGAGTCTTTTCTGAAGATGCTGACTTCTTCCTTTGCAAAGATAGGACTGGTGAGGTAGACTGGTCTTCCCTTGGAGTGAAGGCTCAGTTCCATTTCTTCCATAGTGTCCGTCACCTGCAAGTTCGGGGACTTCAGCTGTGGGGGCCGGATCAACCGCTGCATTTCTCAGTTCTGGAGATGCGACGGCCAGGTGGACTGCGAGAATGGCTCAGATGAACAAGACTGTGGTGAGTGTCTTCCTGGGCCCCATCAGCAGGGCCCAGCCTGGCCTCTGCCCATGACTACACAAGGCTTCCAGGGAGTGGTGCACATACCGTTTTCCCGGCAAAACTAAACTTCGTTGTCCAGGCTGCCTGCCTGCACTGTGTGTCCACCACCACCTGCACTAGGCTCACAATGGGTCCTCCCATCCTTCAAATCCCACCTTGACCAGGAGGCAGGAGTGCCATGGTGCTTCCTCTGGGGTCCATCACATAGCTCGTTGAAGCAGTCCTTGTCAAAAGCCTGGTATGTGCTATGCACTTCAGTTGGCCACTGTGTCCACCTTCGGCCCCCTCTCCCTGCCTTTTTTTCCCTGAGAGACCAAGCACACAGTGGGTGCTTGTTGGCAGGAATCAGTCATCCAACTTAATCAATGAGAGTAAGAGCATCACTGGGCTGGAGGGTTGTGTTAAGCAATAAGCAAAGGTTATTAGTGGTTACCAGGGGAGGAATGGGTGGAAGGGGGACAGAGAGGAAACCATTGCTTAAGGGGCACTGAGTCTCTACTAAAGATCATGAGAAATTTTGGAAATAGATGGCTGTGATAGTTACACGACATAGGAGTGTAATTAATGCCATTGAATTATTGTTGTTGTTAGGTGCTATCGAGTCATCTTTGATCTTCCTTATTCATTGTCCAGCTGTCACATGCATATGAGGTGACTGAAAATATCATGGCTTATGTCAAGTGCACTGTTCTGGTTACCTAATAATGCTCTGACAGGAATATACCACAAAGGAGATTTTTTGAACAAACGGGAGTTGATTCTCTCAGTTTGGAGGCTTTAAGTCTGAGTTCAAAGTGCCAGGCTCTAGGGGCTGGGTGAAAGCCCCTCAACCTTGGGCTTCAGCTCTGCCTCCTGCTCCCAGCCCACTGAAGCTAGAGGCTTTTCTTGATTCAGCTGCTGGCTGCTGAGGCTGACAAGCCCAAAGTTGACAAGTGATAAGGCACAGTCCCAATATTACTAAACCACACAGCAGGCCATTAATGCAAGTCCATTAAAAGTCCCAAGATCAGCAGAGCATGGCAGGCTGCTGAACAACAACTCAGCTACATGCAGGGTTCAAGCGTGCTATAAGCTAGAGACCATTCCCAAAGCTGTTTCTTATATACAGGAAGCAGACCACTTACCCAAAGCAGCTACTCAGCTGCTCCAATAGATTCCACCATAGAGTTAATTACTAATCTCATCATGGGGAATAACTACATTCAGCTGCCCAGACATTCAACCAGGTGCAGCAAGTAGACACACAAACTTAACCACCACACACACCTTAGTCCTCAAGGAAACATCTTTGCTCTTCAGCACTTGAAAGAGGTCCTTTGCAGCAGATTTGCCCAATGCTATACGATGTCTGATATCTTGACTGCTGCTTCCATTGGTGTTGATTGTAGAACCAAGTAATATGAAGTCTTTGACAACTTTTCTCCATTTATCATGATGCTGCTTATTGGTCCTATTGTGAGGATTTTTGTTTTTCTTTATTTTGAGGTATAATTCATACTGCAGACTGTAGTCTTCAATCTTCATCAGTAAGTGTTTCAAGTCATCCTCACTTTCAGTGAGCAAAGTTGTGTCATCTGTATAATGTAGGTTGTTAATGAGTCTTCCTCCAATCCTGATGCCAAGTTCTTCTTCATATAGTCCAGTGTCTTGGATTATTTGTTCAGCATACAAATTGAATAAGTATGGTGAAAGGATACAACCCTGACACACTTCTTTCTTGATTTTAAACCATGTAGAGTCCCCTTGTTCTGTTCGAATGACAGCCTCCTGGTCTATGTACAAGTTCCTCGTGAGCAAAATTAAGTGTTCTGGAATTTCCATTCTTCTCAATGTTATCCATAATTTGTTATGATCCACACAATCTAATGCTTTTGCATAGTCAATAAAACACAAGTAAACATCTTTCTGGTATTCTTTGCTTTGAGCCAGGATCCATCTGACAACAGCAATGATATCCCTCGTTCCACATCCTCTTTTGAATGCAGCTTGCATTTCTGAAAGTTCTCTGTCAATATACTGCTGCAACCATTTTTGAATTGCCTACAGTAAGATTTTACTTGCATGCAATATTAATGATATTATTTGATAATTTCCACATTCTGTGGAATCACCTTTCTTTGGAATGGATACAAATATGGATCTTTTCCAGTTAGTTGGCCAGGTAATTTTCTTTCAAATTTCCTGGCATAGCCGAGTGAGTACCTGCAGTGCAGCATCCATTTGTTGAAATATCTCAATGGGTATACCATCAATTCCTGGACCCTTGTTTTTTGCCACTTCCCTCAGTGTAGTTTTGACATCTTCCTTCAATACTATTGGTTTTTGATTATATGCCACCTTCTGAAATGGATGAACATCAACCAATTCTTTTTGATACAGTGAATCTGTGTATTCCTTCCATCTTTTGATGTTTCCTGCACCATTCAATATATTGCCCATAGAATATTTCAGTTTTGCAACTTGAGGCTTAAATTTCCTCTTCAGTTCTTTCAGCTTGAGAAATGCTGAGTGTGTTCTTCCTTTTTGGCTTTCCAACTCCATGTCTTTGCACATTTTGTTATAATAATTCACTTTGTCTTCTTGAGCTGCTTTTTGAAATCTTTTGTTTAGCTCTTTTATCTTGTCATTTCTTCCCTTTGCTTTAGCTACTCTGTTCAAGGGCAAGTTTCAGAGCCTCTTCTGACATCCATTTTGATCTTTTCTTTCTTTCCTGTCTTTTTAATGACCTCTTGCTTTCTTCATGGATGATGCTCTTGATGTCATCCTATAATTCCTCTGGTTTTCGGTCATTGGTGTTCAATGCATCAAATCTATCCTTTTGATGGTCTCTTGATTCAGGAGGGATATAATCAAGGTCATATTTTGGCTCTTGTGGACTTCTTTTAATTGTCTTCAACTTGAACTTGCAAATGAGCACTTGATGGTCTGTTCCACAGTCAGCTCCTGGCCATTAAATTGTACACATAAAAAAGTTGAAGTGGCAAATATCTCATTATCTATATTTTTCCCAGAATTAAAAAAGACAAAGGAAAGGATGAAAAAGAAAAATGAGACCATGCTTCCTGAATAGAAAGGCACTTTGGAGCTGAGCGTCAGTCTGGGCTCTTATAAGAATAGGAACAGCACTTCCTGCAGGCTGAGCTCCCGCCTGAGAGCTTGACACACATTAGCTCACTGGTTTTCACAGCAATCCCAGACAGCATGCACAGATGAGGAAACTGAGGCACAGAGAGGAAGTGACTTGCTCAGTGTTGAACAGGAGTGAGGTGTCTGCAACCCAGGCCATCAGTTTAGAGCCCAGGGCCTTGGGCTCCACACTGCACACCTCCCCAGTTGCATGCTGACCAAGGTCTGGCCTCTCCCCCAGCACAGTTGCCCCATGTGCAGAAGGGATTGGTGTTGGAAACTCCAAGGTGACCAGGTTTTCTTCCCGTACCCACAGCCCCCAAGACATGCTCACAGGACGAGTTCCGCTGCCGCGATGGCAGGTGCATTTCGCAGCAGTTTGTCTGTGACTCGGACCGGGACTGCCTGGATGGCTCAGACGAGGACGCCTGCCCTACGCCCACCTGCAGCCCTGCCAGCTTCCAGTGCAACTCCACCGTCTGCATCCCCGAGCTGTGGGTCTGTGATGGCGACCCCGACTGCGAGGACGGCTCAGACGAGTGGCACTGCAAGGACCGTGAAGACAACGGCCCCTGCTCCGCACTCGAGTTCCACTGTGGTAGCGGCGAGTGCATCCATGCCAGCTGGCGCTGTGACGGTGGCCCTGACTGCAAGGACAAGTCAGACGAAGAGAACTGTGGTACGGCCAGGTTCCCCAGTGTGGGATGGACAGCAGTTTTCAGGGGTTCAGTGACTTCAAATCACACAGCAAGAATGCTTTACTTTCTGATCACATTAGAGAGACATTAGCCCCATAGGATACTGTATCTTTACCATCAAGTTAGTCTTTTCATTAAGGCAGCAAGCCATGCTCTGCAGTACCATTGGTCCAGGAAAGTTCCAGGGTCCCAGGCCTGGGATGGAGGCGTCTGAACTGAGTGACCCTGGGCCAAAGACTGAACCTCACTACGTCATGTTCTCCCCCTCCCCTGCATAGAATGGGGTGACAGCATTGACCTGTGTAGGTTCTGGTTAGAGTCCAGCTCCGTCCCAGAGAACTTTCTGTGATGGTGGAAACCTCTACCCATATTGCCCTGCACAGTAGCCACTAGTTCAGGTGGCTCTTGGGCACTTAAACATGGCCAGTGAATTTTTAATTAATTTCATGAAAGTTTACTAGCCACATGGTTAATGGCTCCTGAGGTAGAGACAGTACAGATTAAGAATGTGGCCCTGTGTCTGGCCCTGTGTTAGTGCTTCATAAGTGGGGGTTGTTGGTTGTGTTAGAATGGAGTCCCTGGGTGGCGCAAATGGTTAAGCGCTTGACTACTAGCCAAAAGGTTGGTGGTTTGAACCCACTCAGGTGCCTTGGAAGGCAGGCCTGCTGATCTGCTTCCGAAAGGTCACAGCCAGGGAAACCTATGGAGTAAGTTCTACTCTGACACACAGGGGCTCACTGTGAGTTGGGACAGCTTAAAGGCCACTAACAACAGCAATGACGTTAAGAGTGCCAAACTCACTGCTGTCGAGTCAGATTCAACTCATAGCGGCCCCTCTTTGGGTTTC